CTCTCTCTCTCTCTCTCTCTCTCACACACACACACACACACACACACACACACACACACACACACACACACACACACATGCACACACACACACACGTTAGGACAGGGGCCAATATGAACAACCATTGGCTTGACGCATGGAAATTGAACTGAACTATGTGTGGTCGACAGATGTCGATATGATGATTGTTGCACTGCATTTGTCAGGCATCTGTTTTGGTACTGAGAGAAGGGTGATTCATTGTTTAACAGGCAGGAGATCAGGAGGCAGCGAGAACGCCAGAAGGAGGCAGAGATTCAAGCTCTGAAGCGTGCCATGCAAGGAGGGCTGGTAAGCGAGAAAACTGTCAATAAAATCTTATCCATTGTGGTATATTGGGTTCGAACTTGGAAGTTCAAATTACTCTCCTGTCAGAATCAGTTTGGTTTCACTTTGTGGCAGTGCAGAAAGATAAAAGAGTTGGGCCTGTTCCCAAATGGTGCTCTCTCATCGCAGCTCACTATGTATCTGGCTGTACCTATGTCCAGGAGGTTGCAATACGAACTTGGGGAGTGTACGCACTGTATTTGTTTAATTTTATTTTTTTCTTCTTTATTTCGCAAAGAATTGCTGTCCCACCCTGAGGCAAAAGTTGTTTTTTCTGCACAAATTTTTTTCTTTTTTTTAACAGGGGCCTTCCCTGTTCCTTGCCCGGCCCGGGCGGCGTGGGCAAACAAGGTGCCCGGGGTGGCCCGGTTTATAACACAGATGTAGACTCTATTCCAACCTACAAGAAGTGCGAATGGTGGGTCGATAGATCGATGGATGAATGAATCAATGGATAGGATGAGTGGGTGGATGGGTAGGTACTAGGTACTAGGTAGGCATGACATAGGGTGGGTGTGTCCTTCGGGATGTCCATCAAAATTGTAACGATAAAGAGAAAATAGTTTAGCATGGCCCTTGTGCAAGGATGACACATAAATTGAGAAACAACTTCAAACGAGCCAAAAAAAAAAGGTTGGGGGGGAAGGCATTGACATGTGGTGTGCAGATGGACCGTCTGCTGCAGTCTTTGTATGCGCTGAATAAGTTACGACGTACAGTACGAATTTGCTGTGCTATGTAGGTCCAGCTTCCAGGTCTAGTCCTCCTTCCCACTCCTCCCACATTCTCTCACGATGGGCTGAACAATCCTGCAATTTAATCATGCAATTTGTCTTGTGTTCAGGCTGAGGCTATGAGGGAACAAGAACTTCTTCGCGAGGAGATGCAGTATCAGTACCGTGTTGGGAACTTCGAGGTGATGCTTCCCCTTCTCCTCCCCTCCCCTCCCC